AAAAAAAAAAAAAAAGTGTTGAAAAGACAGTGCCAGCCAAAGTGTGAAAGCAGGTTTGAATTTAGCAGTTTATCTATCTATCTACCTCCGGTATATTAGAGCTGCTTGAAATAGAAAGTTAATTTGGGGCAGAGGGGATAGACATTGTTATAGTGTCTACAAATGGTTTCGATACCGTTAAATTCTGTAAATTTGGTACACAAACTTGATGGTTCGATACGTACCTCGGTTTTGACGTCACGGTTCGGTACGGGTTCGGTACAGCAAGGGGACAACTAAACATAAAATTGTTTACTAAACATAAAATAATTTTTTTTTTTATTAAATAGTGGTTTATTGAAAAAATTTCTCTTTTTTAAATATAATAATCAACACTCATCTTAAAAAATTTATGCAAAACATGTAAATTCCATATAATGCCGTTTTTAAATTAACTTCTAATTCAGTAAATTCATTTCTAAAAAAATAAATTTGTTGTTGAAATATAATCATTTACACAGTGGCTATCATAACTTTTTCATAAAAGATTTATTTAAACATTAAGACATCACTAACAGGTGAAGTAAAATGTAATGATTATATAGTCTAATATTTAGCAAAATGCTCCTCTCTAGACTTCATTAATAGCGCACTAATGAGCTGTGGACACTGATGACCTGCCTGAGGTAAATTAAATGCTACGTGACATTTTGTTTAGAAGCTGTTTTATTGCCGTCTTTCTGCGGTTCATTCATGTTTATTTTGCGTTAGAACTAGTAGTAAAGAGGAAGAGATGATTAGACGGCAGCGTTTATACAGCAATGTCACGACACATCAAAACAGCATTTATTGTTTGAATTTTTCTGAAAAAAAAAGACATAATTTGAAAGATGAGACTTTATTTCTTATCAAAAGTAACAATATATGAAACTGGAAGTTTTCAATGAAGATCCACTCATGCGGTGCTTAAAAACAACGCTGTATTTGTTCAGTACACATGTGTACCAAACCGAAAGACCCGTACCAAAAAATTTCGATACTAATATGTGTACCGTTACACCCCTAATGTGTATATATACATATATATGTATGTATATATGGGTGTGTGCTTCATGTTTCAGAGTGAAACATTTTCTTTACAGTTGTAAAGTAAAGTATTTTTTCTTAAACATTTCTTAAACATTTAATAATTAGAGGTTCAAACGTGTAGTGCTGAAACCCTATTGTAATAGTTAAGATTTTCAAAGATCACTATTCTGACCTAAAAGTGATCAGGCAGACCAAACTGTAAGGCGTCGAGACCTGAAACTTGGAGGGATGGTAGTACCTACCCCATCTACAACGTCACCAAGGCTCGCCCAGATCAGCCTGATGGGGGCACTACAGCGACCAAAAGTATGAAATCGATTATAACTCCTAAACCACTTGTTGCAGACTTAAGTGTCTCATATCATGGGAATGGCCTTCGCTCAAGATGAAAACAAAACACGTGGATTTGTGGATTTCGGCTATTTTTAATTTTTTAAAAAACCTACTTTTTCAAACTAGTTTTTTCACCCAATCAATGCAGGAAAAATCTCTGGAGAGTGAATATTGATAATTATCCAAAAAAAATAATAATTTGCATTTGACTCACTGCCACAAAGAGATGCCAAAATGTTCGAAACAGGTGGGGCCACTTTTCCTAAAATAGCTATAACTTTTTAACAGAATGAGATATTTACACCAAACTCGATGTGCGTATGTCAGACCTCAATATGAGGTCACATGACAATAATCGTGGAGTTTGGCCACTGTGTGGTGCTATAATAGGCCAAACATAAAAAATAGCTATAACTGCATCTGTTAGTCTGTAAAAAAACCCTATCATATTTCTATCACAAATTATTTTGAATTGCCAAAAATGCTCTTTTTAATCATTGATGTGTAGGTGGTTACACACTTGTTAAGTAAGCCCGTAACCAGCTATGAGGCCACCGAGGTCCGGACCTCTGTAAATTTTTCATGTTCAAAAATAAAATGTGTTCTTTGAATTACTAATTTGCTGTTAAACTCCTCATATGAATGCCTGCATGACATGTATAATTCAGTTTAGACAGTTTGCAAGAATGTTTAGTGTCCCTGTATGAAAATGATCGCTGGATTTGCTGCGATACGCTGGCGGAGTGAACGAGGCTTGAGAGAGTTGTGAGTGAGGGCGCGGGTGCAGACTGATCCAGCTATTATAAGCGTTTTTGGACTTGTGTTTTCCTCTTAATTTAACACTGTAGAAAGTTAATAAAGTAGGAAGTTGCAGTTTAGAGTCAGCGATATCTTTATCTTACTATATTTGTAAAAGATTGGAAATAATTTCGGTTTATTTTTTATTTATTTTTAGTTTTTTGTTTGTTTTAGTATCAATATCTGGCAACACTGCACCGGCACTTAAACTGAAAGCAATCAAAAAAGCCCATGGACAGGTTTTTGCTGACAAGATACGACATTCGGTAAGGGAAACGCAAAAATTATCATGATATTATCTGTCATAAACTTTATCAACGCTGTCAAAAACAGTAGCATTTAACACCAGTAAACACAGATCTGTAGAACAAGTAGGTTACAGAATGAAATGAACTACGCAAAAACTAGCCACGAAGAAGTCTATGCCATGTAATTCAGTATATTAAAATTTTCACAAATCATGCTATAAACTTTAATAAGAGCACTATGCAAAGTTATTGTAGTTATGTATTGTTGCAATAAGTTATATTATTGTTAAATTATTTTTTAATTTTAAGTATTAACAAATTTTGATGCAATAAACTGCGTTTTTCCACTGCATGGTACGGCACGGTAGGGCTCGTACGTTTAACTTTTGGGGGGTTTTCCACTGGGTACAGTATTTGGTACATGGTACTTTTTTTAGTACCACCTCGGTTGAGGTTCCAAGTGAACCGTACCGTTACCAAAACGTGAGGTGTAAACTCTGCTGATCACGGATTTGCCAGAGAGAATCGTCACTACCTGCGTCACTGAACTGCTAGATTTAAATCAGCACAGCCAGCGAAGCATCGAACGCAACTTTTTTGAATGAGCCCACCTTTTTTAACAACCAAAAATTGTCTGTTTCGTTGTCTGTTGAGGAAGTACAGACGTTCCTCTCGTTGATAGCAGAGGAGCGGATCCAGCGAGAGCTTGATGGGGCGACACAGAATGAAAAAGTTTTTCAGGAGTCGCGGCGATAGAGGTGGCGCAACTAATGACATGTGAATAATCCCACCCACTCTAAAGCGATACTAAACTGCAGTGGAAACACAAACTGAGCTGAGCCGAGCCGTGCCGTGCCGTACTGAGCCGTGCCGAACCGAGTCGTACCACGCAGTGGAAAAGCGCCATAAGTAGTATGTATTTTTTTGTATGTGCTTAAAAGCCTTGAAGCATTTGAATACCGGTAATCGCTACTTGCAGCTATATTTATTTTTTTATTTTACAGTGTAATATTATAATTGCTAAATTTTTATTTTGTTTTAGTTTCTATTTTTTATATTTCTATTTAAAAATAATAGTAATAATTATTAGTATTATTTGCAATGTATTATTTATTTATTTAACATTTTAAATTGCAGTCACAATTTTAATGAAAGTATTAAGGTTTTCCCCTAAATTGTGCAGCCCTATATGCTACTCTCATGAATTTAGTTTATCACACAAATAACATGAAATCATTATCCTGAAGGTAAAAAAAATTACATGAATTTAAGCTGTAAATTCAGTTATAAGTAGTTAATGTACTGCTTTTGGTATATTTGTTCCATGATGTGCTGCATTTTAATGTAATGACAGTAATGATTGCTTGTGAAAATTCTGCTTTGAATTATGTTCTAAATTGCAGAAATCACATTCTGCCTGCAAATAATATATTTTCATCTAAATAGTTATCAACAATGCACACTTAACTTAGAAGACACACTAACAATCTCATTCGGACATCAAACAGTATATTGGAGTTCCATCCAATTTAAGACCTGGTTGCCTTAGTCTGGTTGTCAGGGTTCTGTCACTTCGGTCTTGTGTAATTCATAGTTTTGTGACAGAGCCCTGACACTCGCGTCATGTCATTGTTTTCATGTGAGCGTGCGGCTTCGAGTGTGCTCGAGCCGTGCGCTCTCGTCTGCGTGTACTGTTTCATGTTGGAGCGTGGTGTTCAGATCCCGGCAGTCATGTCTTGAGTTTCGGTTTCGTGTCGGGGTCCGGACACTCGCGCTCCATGTTCTGTCTGTTGTGGGAGCGTGCGGTCTCGAGTTCGCTCGGCCGTGCGCTCTTCTGTCCACGTGTGTTGTGTTTTGTGAAGCACGCGGTTTGTGTTCAGCCCCCGCAGGGGGGCTGATGAGGTCACCCTACATGCAAAATATTGCTTGAATCAGCCCAAGCAACCAATGCACCACTGTCCCCACCACTTTTTATGAGAAAGCTACGCCACTGCACATAGCAACCACCTACCAATGCCTTAGCAACCACCCAGAACATTTTAGCAACCACATAGCAATGCCCTGACATCCACAGCATCCCTGTATACTGTACCGTCAAGCAACACTCAGAAAATGTGATAATTTAGTCATTGTCTGTTGGATCCTCAGCCATACATTCACACATGGTAATTTTCTTTTATCTAGAGAGGGTTTGTTACTCAGGACTGTTAATAATATTCGGATCTCTGAACTCTCTGTAGATAATTCATAGAGAGTGTGATTCAGTATGCCAAAACACACAGCAGTCATGTGTCTTGAGCGTCTTTTATTACTCAGGCTTGTGTAATCCGCTAATTTGCTCCATTGGAGACTTTTATCTGATTTATCAATGTCTTCCTCTTTCTGTCTCTCTGATTCTCCTTTATCTTCTGTAGTCGATAAAGGGCTCGTCCCTGTCATCAGCGTAACAAGGCTGATTACCTGCTATTAGATCTCATTAAGGGCTGTCTGTATGGCGACACAGTCTTCCCACACTCCACCTGCCTGTCAACACCCCGGCCTATCTCTCAGAGCCTCTCTAGCCTGCCTGACGGCAAAAGGGTGGGCTGGAGATGCTGCAGGCCAGACTTAAAGACACCCCCACACATATAAAAAAAATCTCTGTTCACAGGGAGTAACTTTCTATTCATGAGGCATGTGGCAAAACCTACTTCACAACCCATGCTAAAAAAACATGTACTCACACAGAAATTCCACTTAAAAGTTTATGGCTTGTTTGTATGTAGATCAAGTTTTAGATGTGGCTAGAAAAATTAAGTGGAGTGTCTGTGGCTCATTGAATAAAAACATTAGATGATTGCAAACAAAGAATGAGAAAGTATTAAAAATAAGACAATAGACTTAGGTAAATATAAATGAATAAAAATGAATTAAGAGGCATTTAAGATCTACTCATAAAGTTTGAGAGATTTTTTAAACATTTCTTGTTGCTTTGTACTAGTGTGAAAGTGTGAAAATCATAAACTTCACACTTCACATCAACCACAACACAAAACTCTCCAACAGGACCTTGTTTATTCCTTTTCAATTGATGAATTCTTTTATTTGAAAGGCTCATGTTTTATATGTTTTTTAGGGCTGGGAGGAGAGTGTTGATGCAGCCGTCTCCCACCTCTTAAAAACGTGTCTGTCACGCAGCCCCAAAGATCAGGCCATCAGCTTGAGCACCGGGCTGCTAACCATCCCAAAAGACACGTCACGCCTGAAGAAACACATCACGCTGCTCTGTGACCGCTTGGGCAAGGGTGGCCGTCTCTCTCTCTCCTCAGAAGCCAATGTCCCTACAACCATCATGATGCCAGGTCAGAAATATCTTAGTTTGGAAGCTTTCATGCATAGAGGAGTCATTTTTGGCTTGAATGGTCTTCATTGTAAAACTTAAGCCAATATGTTTAAAACGAGTAGGGCAGGAGCTAATGGCATTATTTGGAGCCCAATATAGAACCTTGGGGTACTCCATATACGATGCACGCAGAGATAAAAGACTAGTTCCCACTATGTAACAGCCATAGTTCTATATTTAAGACCACTTTAAAGCTTTGCAACTTTGCCATACCATAGGTATTAATAATAGGCCTACTTCCTATGTTGCAGCAGTACAGATTGTAATGGGTCTACAGCTCCAGATAGGAACATCTGTTTTCATCTTGTAGGATGAATTACATTTGTATTATCAACAGAGCTGTCAGAATGAGCTTTTAACATGCTAGATTTATTTAAAATGTTCAACGTGTTGTTTTTAAAAAAAAAATTTATGGTGATTATTAACACGTTTACCCATTTTTATGTGTTTTTGACAGTTCATTAAAAAATCTGCTGCATGTTTGAAATAGCCTACTTTTTTGAATGCAAGTGCTCACATTTTTTATGTGCATACAGATTGTGTGAATGCACTTGTGTACGTTTGTGCAGCTAAAAGAATCTACATTCACATTATCTAATTAAAAATGTCCAAAACAGAAATCTGAAGATTAAATAAAGCCAGGTCCTGAAGTGGAGATTTCTGTTTTAGTGCATGAGAAAAAAATCATTTTGAGGAAACTGCCTTTAAAGATTGAAATCTACAGACACAAATAGATAATGTGTATTAAAATAATAATTGAATGTGTATTCTGGATGTTCTCTTTCCATTAGCCTGAAAGAACACATTCTATGCAATCAATCAATCAATCAATCAATCAATCAATCTCAAACTTGACCAGTGCAATGAAAAACTTGTAAAATCTTGTTTTGTCTTTCATTTTGGTAGTAAACTAAGTAGAAGACTCAGAGTACATTCACATGTTACACTAATGCTATTGTAGTAACGTGCAGGGGCAACTAGGATAGAAAGATTAGAGCTTTACTTTATAGGACACATAAAACGGCAGAGATCCCTGTGGAATGTGTGAATGATTAACTCGATGGGCTCTGTTATCAGATGCCTGTCCTCCCTGAAGTCTCGGACTGTCTCTCTCTCTCTCTCTCTGGTGTTTGGACACTGGGTGTGTAGATATTATCCTCCCCTCAGATGGCAGGATGTCTGAGCGCACAGTGTCCGCAACATGGTTACTACACTTTTACTATAGTAAAACCATGGTTAATTTTCAGAAGGGTGTTTATCAGTCAAATTCATTTAAAACTGTAAATTCAACAGATATGAAATATGATCAGTAAGAGAAAAATACTGTTAATGAGAAGACAATCGCTGGACCGCGGCAGGTTATTGGGGAAATATATTTATTATTCAGAAAGCATATTTATAGGAACATTTCAGCAGGTTGAGGATAATTCATGTTAATGCAGAGAATTTTTTATTTTTTTTGGTAAAACTTGGTAATAATCTGCATTCTCATGAGAAACTGTCTTTGTGTAGGTGTGCTAAACGCTGACTGGAAACTCCCGAGATGTACTAGAAAGCGGAAGTAGTTGTGCAAGTAGTCCATGGAGTAATAATCATCATATGTAAGCTAAATGAATGCATTTTAAAAAGTGTTGTAATAAACCTATTCATTGTAATGCTTAAAATACTATATTCAGTATTAAATGGGCATCTCCTCTAATTAGTTGATTAAAATATTCCAGACACATCATCCATCGCTAAACTTTCTGTAAATAAAAACCTTGGCAGTAGGACTAAAAACTCATATTGACTTATATTTACTGCAATTCATCCGATGATTTCAACAGATTTCTGTGCTTCAGTGACCAACTGTGGAGTGGAAATATCTAGAAGAAACAACAACTTAGTTGTTGATAGGAGCCTCAAACTCATGGTGCAGAACTGCTGAGTGGTGTGGAACATAGCACATAAACATGGTTTTACCGGCTTTCAACACTCACTACAATTTCCTGACTATTTCTGGAGGAAATGTCATCACAAGAACTATTCAATGACAAACTAATTTATAATTGCCCCTAAAAGTCCCTAAACAGGACTCCATTCTCAAATATAAAACCCAGTGGCACAAATGAGAGGAGAGAATAGGCTTTTTTAAAGTGAATCTTTTAGCTAAAACAATTCTACCTTTTCTGTTTCTTGCTTCTCTCATGAACTAAAACAATAAAGGGAGCCACAGTTAGTTACAAGCTGAGACCAGACACTATTGAGTTGCTTGTATCCGGTTTTGTTTTTGCAACATTTGAAAGCATTCTACGTGTTTAGTTGTTACAGGTAAGTGCCGATCACAGACAAACCCTCCTGCTGTAAGGCTGCCGTACATCTACACAAATACCTGTGTTATGAGACCTGCGTCTCTGATCTGAAATATTGCTCCTAAATGAACAGCCTGTTGAGGTCTGTGTAAATATTAGAGGAGGATTATGATAAGCTTTTCTCAGGAAAGTAAGCAGTCTCACCCGATTTGTCTATTTGGGGTATGTGGTGTAAAAAAGAGGAAACAAACTCCAAAAGGATTGTGGGTAAGAGGCTGGCCCGAGAGACGTAAGAGGCTGATTCATCAGTCCCCTTCAAAACTCCTAATTCTGGCTGATCCTCAGCACTGAGTGTCAAATCCATCTGATGGAGTCCAGCAGGTGCACTCTGATCTGCCAGCAGTTTGGAGAAATTTTAAATATGTCAGTATGGCTTTTCTATTACACAAGGTATAATTCACATTACTGCTCAATGAAAAGAATGTAACCCTGTAAAGCCTGACTTATAAAATAATACTCCAAAAAAATCTTCTCCCCCCCCTCTCCTTTTTTTTTTTTAATAAACCATTTATTGAAACAACAAAATATAGTTTTTAAAGTGCATATGTGTTTTATGTTTTTTTATCATATTTGATATATGGTATAGTGATATAGTGAGAATATGGGGCTCATACTTTATTCATACTTTATTCAGAAGTCCAAACTGAGCAAAATAAACAATTTGGTGAAGATGTTGTTATTTATATGACCAAAAGTAAGATGAAAGTCCAATTCTGTATTGTAAAGCAATGACATTTTTATAACCGTATAGTAGACTACTTGCATTAAATGCATATAAATATCAGTTGTTACTCTATATCTCGCAGTAAAATGTCTTAGAAAGATGATATTTTTATGATCAGAGCTCTGAATTTTCATTGTTGGGGCAATGTTTATAATGCAATGCAATACCATGATGATTGAGAGATGTACATTAAACGTTCCTCAAAAGCTTGATGTATAGTATTTTATTCTCAGATTTCAAAAACCCTATTATAAAAAATCTTTTAGATTTTAGAGCAAAAACACACATGTACCACAACCTAAAGGTGGACAGTTTTAGAATTATACTAAACTTTTACTTACTAAAAAGTCTGAACTATCAATCAAAGGGCATGTGTAGAAGTTTGTCAACAAAGTTTTGTTTATGCTGATATTTTAAAATTCATGCATCCAACAGGATACTGAAGACTTTACAGTGTTAAGTGGAGTACAGAGTAATGCTAACCAGTAATTTATAATTAATGATGAATATTTTTATGTTGTTCTGCAGTTGGTTGTGAGTCCATCCCTGAACCGATAGTTGAGCAGGAGGAGGAACCACCACTGCAGCAAGACTCCGCCAAGTACATTAAAAAGAAACAGCCATCCAAGAGAATCAAGAGCAAGTCAGGTAAAACATGTGGCTGTCCCAACACCTCAGAAAGCCTCACTGTTGCACTGATTTAACAAAGTTGGAAAAATAAATGTGACATTGTATACTGCAGATTGATAGAAAATCTTTACCAAGAAGATAACCAAGTAGTTGTGAAGAGTAGAATGTGAACAAGTAAATCAGAGTCAAGTTCTGTGATATGTAAGTTTGTGTTCATATATAGATGTTTAAGCAGGTCTGCAGCACCTGCTTTTATTTGTTTAATCCAGAACCACAGGCATTGTTAATGAGCTGAAGAATTGTGAAATGTACACACAGAGAAGAACAATAAACACTCAAAAAAGCTTTACATTCTAAATGACCAAATTGCCTAAATCCAGTTTCTAAGTGATGAAACTCCAATTTATGTAAAAATGAAAGAAAAAAAAGAAACATCATTCAAAACATATAGGCTACATATCCTCTGGTAAGCTTAAAAAAAATCTCATTAGTGTTGCAATGTCTGAAATGGGTAGTAATTATTGACTAGTTCTGTGTAATTGCTTTGAACTGTTTAAATTGCTGATGAGCTTTACTAAGATGTTTAACCCCATCAGGGTCCCAAAGAACCTGTGTTCAACATGTCCGACAGGAAATTAATGAATATGAGAAAACTTTTGGAATTATGTGGATTTCTGTATGAATAGATTTTTAGTGTAACATCACCTTCATTAACCCCCTGGGGTTGACGGTCGCGCCGGCGCGACCAGCTCGCTTTTTTTCTGATCAGTGCTAAAGACACTAAAAATACTTTTGGTCACACATATAAGTGTTATACATCATTCGAAACTGTTAAGTGTCTACTTTTATTTGTGTACACTCACAATAACAACAAAACTTTGTGCTTTTGTAAAATAAAGACAACAAACAGGGTGCGCTTTCTGTCTTCTCAGTCTCCGTGAAAATCTTTCTGAAACACATCACAAAAATGAACTGAAACTCAGCAAATATTTGACACAGACATGAAAGATATATCTATAGAAAGCTTGAAGTGTCTACTTTTAAATGAAGTAAGTCATGTCGAAAACAAATATTCTGTGATAAAGGAATCTGTATGAAACCAACGCAAGGTCCAGTTTTTCCCATCTGAGCTCATTATCTGTAATGTGATCACGCCCACGCGCAGCACACGCTATTCATACGGTAATCATCCACGTGAGACGCGCAAACATGCAAACGCCCACATGACCTCCGTAAACAAAGTCTGAAGATTCATCAAGTTCATCTCGAATACTTTTTGTTTCTGGAAGAGACGCGCTGAGAGGAATGAGCCAGAATTTACCTCAGAAGAAGAACGCGACACAACGCGCAGCTTGAGCAGCGGAGGAGATCATTTCTGACGAGTAAGTCATGTTTTATTATTTGCATTAGTTGTTATTGTGTTATTGTGACATAAACTTGAACACATTTACTAGTTGGGGTTTTTCCCAAACTATAATTCCAGACTAAAATGTTTGAAATCGAGTGAAACATTTTGAAATATAATAGGCAACTTTCATTGTATCTAAATTTCGTACAATGCGAGGATGTTTTTATGCTCTATATAATACAACAATACGATATATATATATATATATATATATATATATATATATATATATATATATATATATTACAGATGCTCCTGATATCAACATGCTCACATGTTTTTTTGTTTTGTTTTAGTTGTTTGTTCTTTAGTGATCTGATTCCTGCACCACAGATGAATCCTGCTGACTTTCAAACTGTTTTCCTCTGAGAGCGCTGTACCAATATCAGATGTTCAACTACACTGAAATTCTACACAAATATGGTAAAACAAGCTCCTTGACTACTGATGATGGTTTTTGTTTCTCTTGAATCCATGGAAAGAAGCAGCAAACACTGGAAATATCAGGTATGGTTTACTTGTTTCACGTGTTGAACAAAATCTGTTTTCAGGAATGACAAAAAAAGTCTGTTCCCGTCTCTGTGTTTAGATCAGTGTGATCAATAGTGTGTGTCTTTGACCTTTATTATGTATATTTTTATTTTACTGTGTTGTAAATAAAATACAAATAATCAAACCCCCCATTATTTTAGTCTTCTCACAATCTTTCTTACCTGCCTCACGGTCACAGTCACACTGATGGGCCATTAGGGGAGGGCCCTTTGTCTCTCAGGTGTGAATCACTAAATATTCATGGCCATTGTCACTCCCTGCCTTTCTAACACAAAAAATGTCTTACAAAAGTTAAATCAATATATTGTTTTCTGTGAATGAGTAAGCAGGATGTTTTTCACGTCATTTTGAAGTAAATATTCTAGACAAGACTGATTAATCAAAAGTCTTATTCAGAACTATTCAGTATGGGTTTTATGGTCCTATTTTATTCAGAAATAGGAAAAATTGCCTCAACCTAATTTCTGCAGAACTCCAAAAACAGATCTATATGAACACTAGCGGCAGTAAAACTCTTATTAACTTTTACAGTGACAGTAAAACAGAATGAACTTACATTCCTTTTCCAACAAATTATGATTATCGATTAATAATATTTTTGTGCTTTTCCTTGCACGATACTGTGTTATGACCCCAAAACACTTTCACCATAGTGCATGATTTATAAACTTAATACATTTGGACTTTTGCAAAACCAGCATAACCTGTTCCAAATGTGTGGCTTTTCTGAAGAAGTAAACTTGCTCAGTAGCTCACCTGGTATAGCGTTGGACTTGCAATATGGACTGCTCAGGTGTACTGCCTGTGAAACACTAGTAAGGAATCAAGAATAGAAGAGATCAAAGACTAGCATGGTGTGGTTTCTTTAGCAAATGAGTTTTTATCCCACACATTTCACTTTGAAAGTGTCACATAATGCAATAAGCATGGTAATAACATTTTGCAGAAATTACATCACAGGCGCATTTTTCTGATGAGCCTGTGTTGTTAATTTTAGTTACTACAGTTGCTGTTACCTATTTCCCAGATATTTAATATGTCTAGATTTCCATTTCATGAGCACTGATAACAGTAGATCCTCAGTAGTGCACCTCAAATATTGGAGAAACTCTGAATGCTCATTAGTTGGTTGTTGCTTTTGTCTTTGAAGAGGCAGATCTGCTCAGACATGTACCTCAGTCGCCAGCTCTCCTCTGTCTGAGGTATTCAACATGTACCATTTCCCCTAACAACATAGAAATATTTAGACAGAGGGAGCCATCAAACAGGAACAGTGAGGAAGGATATCTGATACAGTTGAAAGGATTCAAACATAGTCTCTGATGTTAATTGAAACAGAAGCCACTCTTTCATGTGCCTTTCATCTCTTTTAATACAAATTCAAAGTCACATGTCGTCTGTGTATCGCACATCAGATCACCAACTAGACTCTGGAGTAACACTATATATTTATAAACATGGATGGTTGGCTATTAAACACCCTAAATTCGGATCCATGTAATTCTAGGAGTGGCTTAACTGCCGGCAATACAGGCGAGGCAACCGCACTGGGGCCCTCCAATATTTTTGAAGTTTTATGATTGCAATAACAGATAATACAGCATACCTCGCTTTTTTTGTACAAACTTAAAATGTATTGTAATTATAGTAATTATTGTAATTCTTACATACTATGCATCCAATTGACTCAATGACCAATTGTTTATCCTAAATGTAGCTTCATTAAATAAAATGCAGCCTTCCAACTATAAATAAACACTGACAGTTGTATTATTTCAAGGGATGAAAATTAACCTTTAAGACTGTATTTGTTGCATTTTGCAATGTAGCCATTTTTTATGTTTTCTTTTGCTTTCTATTTTTTTTTTTTTACTGAAAAGGCAACAAACTAAAATAAAAATGGCTTGCTGGTTAAATAGTCCAGTCTAAAGTTGAAACGTTATAATAATTCTTAACAAGCAATGTAAATTACTTTAAAAAATTTTATCAGGAACAATATGTTATGGAGAAAAAAGTAATAAAATATGGACAAATCAAAAGAAAAAAAGTCATTTTCTTTGTCTTCAAGCTATAAATGCTAGTGCTATTATAGCAAGCACTAGCAAGAAGTTTAAGAGGTGTGTGGATCCGTGTCCACGTTATCTGACACCTGATGACACACATGATCTTTGCGTAATTTGTTTGGGTGAAGAGCATGCACGTGATGTCCTTGAGGGGGCAATCTGCGTCCACTGCGAGCGTTTTTTCAATGAAAAAGCTCCACTCTCGTCTTCTCTCTTTTCGAGGAAAGAGGGACAGCTGTCTGCTCCCCGTGGTTCAGGACCCGCCGCTGCTGAGGCACAGAGGAGAATGAGTTCGTGGGGTCGCAGACGAATCTGGCCGATGAGTTCAAAGAGGGGCTTTCCCTCTCACACTCGTCGGCCACGGACGAGGGTGAGCCGCTGGATGATGATGATGTGATTTCCCTAACATCATCTCATCCAGCGGCCAGTGCTCTGCTGGGTTCTGCCTAGGAAGAGCAGGAGATGTCTGAGGGGGGCGAAGAAGTTGAGACTGAGCCCTCCCAATCCTCCTGCCCTGCGTATGATGAGCTTTTGGAGGTTATGGAATGCGCCACGGCGAGGCTTGACTTGCCGTGGAAGCAGGCCAGGAAGATGGCGCCGCAAGGTCGTCTCGACGTTTCTGACCATAGCCTCCCAGCTCAAGTGAGCCTTCCTTTTCTTCCTGATCTCCATACAGAGATCGAGAAGGAATGGAAGAGGCCGGTTTCCTCCCGCATCCATAGGTTCCAGCATACAAGTTATGCCAACATCGAGGGGATGCGCGAAAGCGGCTATGAGAGGATGCCCCCTATAGAAGATGTGCTGGCTAGCTATCTCTCTGTAGGTGAGACATCCTCTCTCAAGGCTCCCTCCTTGCCATCTAAGCCCCTTCAGGATACATCTTGCTTAAATGGCAGGGCATACGCAGCAGCAGGTCAGGCTGTCGCTTCATTGCACACGATGGCGATGGTTCAGGCGTACCAGGCTGATCTGCTGAAAGACCTGGATAAAGGGGA